TGAAGGGATGCATTGGAGGAGGTTTTCATAATTTGCAGCATTGCTTCTGTTACAGGTGTTCAAAACAGAATTAATAAACTAGCTTAAGCAAAATACTGCTACTGATAGTTAATAATGATAGTAATAAATATATTCATTTACATAACCAAGGAGTCAAAAAGGTTGAACTGCTTCAGATATAGCTTGATCTGAGGGAACTCGCAAGCAATTGTTAGCTCTAAGATGCTGTTACTCATTTCTCCATATCTCGGCTGCTTTCTTCTGTGTAGGCTTCATTCTCAGGCAGGACCTCTCCATGTGGGCTCCAGAAGCTTCAGGCTTCCATCCCACCAGTCTAGAGTACTCTGGAGGGAAAAAGAACTCTAACATTCTGGGAAAAGTCCAGGGGTTGATTCTCATTGGTCTGGTAAGGTCACGTGCTCCTCCCTGAGCCAATCTCTGTGGCTGGGTGTGCATGGGACACGGATGACCTAGGCAGAGGTCACTCACCCATTCCCGCAGCCAGAGTATTATGTCAGGCCCCGCAAAGTGAAGTTGAGAGTTTGGGAGGCACAGTTCCCAAAGGAAAGTAGAGGTACCGTTACCAGGAGAAAAAGGGGTGGGTGCTGGGCAGCACCGATGCAAATGTCTGCAGTGGCCTGAGTGCATCTAGCTGAGGATCCAAAGGAGCGATTTTACCCACCACTAGTGGGTAGACAGAGAAATTAATGGTTGAAATTAATGGAATGAAAACTGACAAAAATCTCCCTGCAAGGCAATCTAATGAGTATCAACAACCTTAAAAGCTTAGTTCCTCTAACCAAAGTATTCCCCCTCCAGGAATGTATCCAAAATTAAATAGCAGCTCTGTCCAAGAATATTAAAAGACAAAATATGTTCACTTTAGCCTTGTTTCTATTTTGGAAAAAAGGAAATACCTTGAGTATACACTAATAGAAAATTCATTAAATGTATTAAGTTATATTTATATTAGCAAACATGTTGCAGCTAAAAGAAAACTAGTTTTTAACTTTAATAGTTCCTGTCAGTGAGACCTACCAGACACCTAGAGGACACTTCACGCATCAACACATTCCTGAAAAGCCACCAGCTACTGAAACTGACTCAAGAGGAAACAGAAAATCTGAACAGACCTACCACAAAGAAAGATTAAATTCGTAATTTAAAAACTATCCACAAAGAAAAGGTCAGGCCCAGATGACTTAACTGGCAAATTCTACCAAATGTTTAGAGAAGAATTAATACCAATCCTTCTCAGATGTCCAAAAAACAGAAGAGAAAAGAACACTTCCTAACTCATTCTCAGAGGCCTGTATTTACCCTCATGCCAAAGCCAGACAAAGAACCACAATAAAGCCACAGACTAATACGCCTTATGAATATAGATGCGGAAGTCCTCAACAAAATGCTAGGCAAATACAATCCAATGACATTAAAAAGATTACATACCATGACTAATTATCCCAGAAATGCAAGGATGGTTCAACATAATAAAATCAATCAATGTAACACCACCTTACACAGAATGAAGAAAAAACCATATGACCACAGTAGGTGCTGCACTTGGCCATGTACGAGTGATGGGTGCGATGAGCCTGGCTCCAGCCAAGGGTGAAGCCCAGCTTGGCCACTGACTGAAGGGTGTGTTGCTGGCAAGGAGGGATGGGGCCAGAGGGCTGGGCTTCCAGAGCCTGGGAACCCTCCAGCAGGGGCGTGGGACCTCAGGCAGGAAAGGCCTTCCTCACTTAAGAGGCCCCTTTGATGGCTGAAATCCATAGAGGAAGGACAAGAACCACTCCCGTTTGCTGAGCAGTGATAGGTACCAGGCGCCGTGCTGAGATACTTAGTGCCCACAACCACCTCGTGAGGGAGGCCCATTGCTACCCCTGGTTGCAGGTGAGAGCTCCTGAGGCTCAGGGTGAGCCACACAGCTGCTCAGGGATAGAACCAGGACCCAGAAGACTCAGCCTGACACTAAGCTGTAACTTTTGACCACCACTGTGCTCCTAGTGCACAGGTGTTGCTAAAATGAGTAAAGGGCCCAGCAAGCTATGTGGGGCCTGAAACTACTCCAGTGAAAAGGAAAGCCTTGCAGGCAGACAGAGCTCTGGGCTTGCACCCTGGGAGGGCAGCTCAAGAACCATTGGAGCACAGATTAGTCATCTAATCCTCTGAGCCTCAGTTTCCTCCTTGGTTAAAGTGGGAATGTATAGTCTTGGTGGCCTGTTGTAATTAAACTGGACAGTGAATGTAAAATCACAATGAGCACAGAGCCTGACCCGAAATAGATGCTAGGCACCGTTCTCACCAGAGAGGCTGCTGAGCACCATGAAGAGGACAGAGCTGGGGCCGCACAGACAGGGAGAAAGTGCCTCTGGAAGTCTGGCAGCTCTGCTCCTTTGTACGAATGCGGTTTTTGGCTTTGCTTCCCACGAGTGAGCGACAGGAGCACCTTTTAAATAAAAAGGGTCTCTGGGATTTATTTGTAAAGTCAGAAAAGGGCAAGTTGAGAAGAAAACAAAGGAGAAACTAGATGAAATAAAAAACATGGATGGCAGCTTAAAACAGGCAAGGAAACTGGGCTGCGTCCCTCCCAGGTGTAGGAGGACGATGGGAAGGGTTGTGGCCTGGGCTGAGTCCCAGGAAAGGAAAGGTCAAGTGTGGCTGAGAAGGAATCAAGCCAGGTTCCTTTCCTTACTTAGCCTGCCTCACCAAGGCAGGAATGGTTCAGTTAAGTAGCTCAAAGGGGTTGGATTGTCCTGGGCTTCTCACCAGTTTTAAAGCCCTCCCCTTACCCTGCCTGGGTAGCTCAGTTGATTAGACCATCACCCTGATACATCAAGGTTGCAAGTTCAATCCCTGGTCAGGACACATGTAAGAATCAAACAAAGGATACAGAAGTAAGTAGAACAACAAATAAATGGAATTTTCTTTTTTCCCCCCTTCTCTCTCTCTTCCCCTCTCTAAATATCAATATATTAAAAACAACAACAAAAAAAACCCTTTCCTTAAGGCCAAAAGATTCTTTTGTTCAACCTTTTCTCCTTTGAAGAAGAAAAACCTCTTCTGAAGGGTGACATCCCTGCCTGGGAAGCAGAGGCTCCTCCCAGCCCTCACAAGCTCTTTGCAACCTTGTCCCAGCTCAGGGAGACAAGCTTTTGTGCTGAGTCAGTTTGGCTGCCTTCCAGCTAAGGGAGTGGAGACCGCAATGCAGGGGCCATTAAAGGAACTATTTTTAGGCCCCATTTCAATCTTATTCAGCACAGGCTGTGAGATGCAAGGCCTGAAGGTGGCCAGACCAAGGGGATGCTGGCAGGGAGAGTCCCAGGCAAGTAGGTCAGAGAAAAGACAAGGAGTGCTCATTTGTGAAGTGGAAGAAGTGCCCAGAGACCCATGCTGCTGCCCAAGGCACAGAAGACAGAAGAGGGGGAGCTGCTCACAGAGAAAGGGGTCCTTCTGCATGATTAGAGAAGTCACCAATAAAACGGAAGGAAGAAAGCACAGCAACTTCTAAAGAGACTAGGGCCATGTGCACCTGGGGAGTTTGTTAAAAATACACTGCCTCAGGCCCATCTTGGGTCCATTGAGTCCAAATATTACAATGGGGTGTGGGAATCTGTATTGCTAGTTGGCTCCCAGGATGGGTGATTCATGCATGTTGAAGTTCAAGGACCTCTGGGCTGGACAGTACCCACCTCCGGAATTCAAAGGAATGATGTAGGATGATGGCAAAGAGAGGCACAGGTGGTGGTGACTATTTCAGAGCCCCCGGAAGTGCCCTTCTCCACTCGTCACTGGACTCAGGCTTCCATCTGTAAAATAAAGGGACCTGGCAGGGCCAGGAGTCTCCCAGTTCCTCAGAAAACCCTCGTCAATGGGTGCTCAGCGAGCGGCTGAGAGGACAGGGGCATAGCAACTTTTATACCAGCGGTGCCTGTTATCCGAAGATAATGGGCAATCCACTCAGAGTGCATACACACGCATACACTGGGACCAAACTTCAAAGTATGTGGTGGGAGGAAAAAACCATTTGATCGGGACAATCACCTAAATAAAATTTACATATACTGAAAGTTGCTAAAAGAGTAAATCTTAAGTTTTTATCACAGAACAATTACTCATGTGAGGTGATGACGTGGTAACTGACCTTACCATGGTGACCACTGTGCACCCGAAACTTACACATGGTGCGTCAGTTACAACTCAATAAAGCTGAAGAGGACTTAAAGTCATCTTGTGGCTTGCAAACTTTAAATTATACTGCAACTATGTAATAATTCTTCAATATTCTTACCCCTTTGTATCTTCTTCTTAAGATGAATAAAGAACGAAGAGTGCTGAGCTGAGGGAGTACAATTTTTGACAAAACTGTCCAAGAACACTCGATGCCGTCCTTCACTGTGTTCGACTTCTGCCAGATTCCAAAGGAGGTAATTTTGCAAGCATGTTAAAAGCTGCTACTTATTTCCCCAGGACTTCTCTTAATCCTCCGAGAGTCAAACCGTTATTTTTGGAGGCACTTAGCCTGTTATCGCTGTGAAGATTCTCATGTGTCACCTGGACCCGCGCTGCCTGAGCCCTGCTGCGCAGCAGCTCTGCAAGTGATGCTCCACCATCACTCATCACCTTCATAAATCCTGCAAGATTTACAATTATTCTTTGTGATATATTTGTCACCTATTTGCACTGCACTGTCAGACATTCGTGACACCCAGCGATCAGAAAATCTGGCCATCAGAGGCACTGACAGGCCCAGTGGAAGGAAGAGCTTTTGCCCTTGTGCTGTGCTGACTTCGGCTTGCCCTGCCACCTCCTAGGTCTTAGAATAATAAATACCAAGATAATGAGGATGGCCGGGAGTGGAAACAACTAAGTTGAATGTGCACAGGCAGGCAGCATCTCTGTACACTCAGAATCTTTTGCACTGGGCTTGGGCTGTGGCTTCTACAGACGGCAAAGGCCGCCCCTTTCCTCCCAAAAGAGCCACAAGACAAAGGCCACTTGGTCAGATGATACTTTAATCAGCTGGAAATATAAAACCTGCCTTTGGAGACTATCAGGGGCCACATGTGGAACCGAACCGAGGAGAGCAGAGGCACAGCACTGAGGGCCTAGGGGGAAAGGACAGGCCGAGCAGGAGGTCAGCGATGGCTGAAGAATCCTTGAGGATGGTTGTATTTAAACGGCTTCATCCTGCTGGGACCACTAGAGAAACAGAAGAGAGACCAGTTAATACCACGCCCTTTGCGCTGACAGCATGAACTATGGTTATCCACACAGTACTGTACAGCTGTTAGGGGAAAAAAGGAACGTGCGAGACTGCAGAACAGTATGTAAGGTGTGATACCATTTTTGTACAGATGTCTCTATATAACTGCAAATGCATGAACACAGGCCTGGAAGGGACCTCGCTGACCATGTGCACTTCTGGGGATGGGGCTCAGGCACGCTCATTTTTAGTGTTTTTATACAACTCTTCACTGATGTTTCTATGTTTAACAACAAACATGGTTTTGTGCTATAATTTAAAAAAAAATTTTAAAACCTCCTTTGCAGGAGATTCCCATGCAGGTGGGAGTCTGAAGTCAGGCGATAAAAAGAATCTGCACTAAGTGCCTACCTCTTAGATACTACTTCTATAATTTTATAGATTTTACAGATGAGAAAACAGGCTGAGGGAGTTAAACTATCTGCCCAATAGTATATAGTCAGAAGGGAGCAGAGCCCGAACTCAAAACCAGGACTGATGCCAAATCATCCACCTCATGAAGCTTAGGGGCTTCCTGGGCACCAAGCAAAACTTCACCCAGGGCCCTCCTCCACACGACTCCACAGTAACTGATGTCCAGGTCCAGGGCCTCCCGCATTCATCCATGACTGACATTCAATGGGAACCACTAGCAACACCTTTGATCTTGGTCTGAGTAAGGGAAGGTGGGAAGGAGTGTGTGTCAGGGACTGTAGAGATGAGGGGAGAAAAAAGGTTTCAATTCTAACAGCAGGACACCTGCTGTTACCTAAGTGCAGGCTTATTCATTTTGCCTGCACTGTGCTTGGCACTTTACATGCTCCATCTGGGTTAATTTCATCCTCCCTGAATTCACACCTGAAGTGAATGCTGTATTACCAATTAGGAATCTGAAGCTCAAAGGGACTAAGTGTAGACCCTAGTCACACAGGTAGGAGCAGCAATTTGAATCTAGGTCTTCCTGGCCTCAAAGCTTTTGCTCATAACTAGGATGCTGTATACCTGCCGACGCCAGAAGGGCACTGTTATCAGCTAAGTCTAAGTGTACAGCCGAACCCACAGACTGCAGGTACCCACCCAGCCTCTGTAAACTTTTTGTGCTGAATGTTGGGACCGACTATGCTAAATAAAATTTGTTGCATTGAACAACAACAACAAAACCAGCCCCTTGGCCTGATCCCAATGGTCAGCTGGACTTTAGGCCAAGAACCTCGCATCCCACCAGTCATGGAGTTAATTAGATCTGAGAGGCCAAAGAAGCACCTTCCCGGAATTCCCTCAGAGGAGCTCAGCCTAGGTGACACACAGCACTTCACAAAACGGGTCCTTTGGGAACCATTAGATAACAGGAAACAAACAGTGGCCATGTGAGAGATGCCACCCTCTAAATGTGCCAGAGCAGGCTGGGCAGGTGGGAAGAGCCGAGGCCGCACACAGACCCACTAGGGAGAGCAAGGCCTGGACGGCACCAACACCCAGCCCCCAGCTCCACCTCCAGCAGCCACACGGGGGCTAGAGCTGGTTATTATCAGATAGCACCGCAGATGAGGCAGGACAAGGTGCCAGACAGGGGCCGGGGGGTGCTGGGGACAGCGTCCCCGGGCTGGGGCTGGCTGTCTGAGAAAGCGAGGAGCAAGTACAGCACCTCTCAGACTGACAGGGAACAGGGGGTGTCCCGGTTAGACACAAATGACAGCCCTTCCCCACCTCCCACCCCCGACACCACCCTTCCCCAAGCCCTTGTTCAGAAAAGAAGGGCAATGTGCCTGAGCAATGTGAACTCTGGAGTTGGGGAACGCACTCTAAAAACTTGAGTTAGGGGATGAAAGGGAGAGAAAGGACCCCGAAGAGAAAGGAAAAGTAGCTAGAAGCGCTGTGAAAGCAGGTATGCTGAACACCAGCCATCAGGGCCCGTTAGCACTTCCTGAGCCCCTGTCTATGCTAGGGACCATTCTGGAAGCTTTACATGAATCGTCTCTAGTTCATCATGAGCTGGAAGGTAGTATTTCCACTTCAGCCTTCAGACAACAGGCTCAGAGCTGAGCTGAAGTGACTCTGCCAGGGTCACACAGCTGGTGAGCAGCAAAACAGAGGTGCACTTGTGTCCATCTTATTCAGAGCTGGTTCCTTCTGTAAAGCCCGGCAGCCCAAAGCTGGTCCTCACAGATGAGTGAGCACCCTAGGAAGGGTGTAGCGGACTCTGGGGACCTGGAGACGTGTACAGAGTTTAAAAAGCTTATTTGGACAGTGCAGAGAGTAAAATTCAGCCAAATCCTCTTGGTTCACGGTCCGGTGCTGCTCACTAGTGGGTAGCCCCGCTGCAGGGGTGTCTAAAGAACAACTGGACCAGGCTGGTAGGAAATGCTGCCAGAAAAGTTTCAGCAAGGAGGCAGCAAACTCTCCCGAGGAAATCCAGCAGGGGGGCCTTAATTTCCTCTGTGAACAGAGAGGAGTGAATCTAGGAAGAGGTATGCCCTCGTGCCAGGCTCTGATCTGTGCTCCAAGTCCCCATGAGAGGCAGGACTGGAGCTCCCTGGTACTCTCGCCCCTCCCCTCACCGGAAAAGCCGCAGACACATCTTCTCCTGGGGGAATTCCTTGGGCCCCTCCACGCTGTCATCGTGGCTCTCAGTCTCCAGGTAGACGTCCAGCAGCACACACAGGCGCTGCAGCTGGTTGGTCAAGAGCTGATGGCCAGGCCGGGGGCCACACAGCTCCATGTAGCACACGTTGACCTCACTCTCCATGGCCTATGGGGTGGGAAGGCCAGAAACTCAGCATGACCTTCGGACTGCTGGGTCTGGCAGCTCCACGAGAACTGCAGCTGGGCCTCTGCAGAGGCTGGCCCACGCCCCATCAGCAGACCGGACCGCCCTGAGGCTCCCCCTACTCAAAACAATGGGGTCTTCCTGATTTGGACCCATGACTTTCCCTGCCTTGAACACCTGCAGCCCAGATGACAGAGGCAGCAGAGAAGGAATCTCGAGATGTGATCCAGTTCATAGGGTCAAACACACGCTCCACAGCCTTAAGGCCATCACAGAATCAAATCAATAGGTGTAATAACAATTAACAGCTGCAATGTCCTCATGCATCATCACATTCCAGCAATTCTATGCTTCTGAGTTAATTTACATTTTCACAGAAGCCCAAGACAACAACCTTTCAAGGCAGGCATTTATATTATCCCTATTTGATAAATGAGGTGAAACCTGTGGGCCCAAACCAGAAAACTGGTTGAGATGGGCCTAGGCTCTCTCCTCTCCTACACCATGCAGTGTTCAGTAAATCTGGCAGCCCCTCTGTCCTGGGGGTTATGCCAGCACCCAAGCCCTCAGCTGAGGCAGTTTCTGCCAAACCCACCTCCCCAAAGAGGCTCTTCCTGCTCCTCCCGTCACCCCTAGCAAGGCCTTACCCGAATATTGTCATCATTGCTGTTGGTCTTTTCCCCTTTCCAGTTCAGACAAAGCTGGAAAATGGGTGGGATGGAGGAGTAGCCAGGGTTCAGCACCACTGCAGCCTGGAGTTTGGCTGGGAAGAGGGGGCAAGGAGGAAAAATCAGTGCTGGGACCCAGCTTGCCAGCCACACACCACCCCTGTGGGGCCCCTCGTGCTAGCTCTGATGTCTCATTAATCTGAGTGCTTCGGAGCACATTCTGGTACTAAACTGACTTTCATTTGTTCTGGAATCTCCGAGTGTAATTGCCAGGTTGTAGAACAATGTCTGCGACACTGGTCCTTCCAAGGAGACAGGTATGTCTAGAGTCTAGGTATGCCTAGGGCTCCCCAGAGTCTGGTCCACATTAGGTCTGCCTAAGACTTCTATTTGCTCCTTTAACATAAATTTATTTTAATTTATTTGCCAGCAAGTTAAGGATTTTCCCACGTAAAGGCTTACTGTTTTTTCCAATATTATGTATTAGCTGTTACATCGGTCAAGTCTACCTTTATTCTGTTCCTTTTATTTTTAGGTATTTTGTATGTGAAACTTGTTGAAGCCAACATTACGGAGTGCTTACTCTATTTCTGAGCACTGAGCCATGACCCTTATGTGCACTTTATTCCTTCCTAAGGGATTCTGAGATGGGCATCGTCCCCGGCGTACATATAAAGAAACCAAGGCTCCGACAGAAACTTCCCAAAGGTCGGGCAGGTGCAAGGCAGCCGTGCTGCATTAACCAGAACTGCCTGATGTCAAGGCTGTGTGCACAATCATTGAATGAAATGTCTTATTTTTAAAGTGTTCACTTTTTTCTCTAGTGAAAGTCTTTATAATTTTCAATAGGGTGACATTTATCCTCTCCACCAATGGGCTAAGCATCCCATTCTTTTTTCAGGATTTAAGAGAGAGAAAAAAAGAAGTCTTTGACTACACCAGTAATTCAAGTAACAGCAATAGGGAAGTGCAGGTTAAGAAGACAGTTCCTTCCTGACGGCCACAAAAACATTAAGTATAAAGTGATTCCTTTCTCTACTGTTTGTGCCTCTGTCCAAAGAGCCTGCATACACTTCTGGGTAGATCTCTGTTCACCAAGTTTTTGTTTTAATCCATACTATGTAAACTTTTCAATATGATCTGCTGTATGACTTTAGGATTAAATATGTATTTGGGCTTGTTGCCCACTTGTTCATTTAAATTTCACCCGGATTTTTCAAATTCTACAATACAGCTGATGAAAATTTTAATTATGACACTCACTCTGTGTATGAGCCTAGAAAATTTCATATCTTTCCAAGCTTTTGTCTCCTCAACCGGGAAGCAGAGGTGATGTCTTCCAATGACTTCCCTCCCACCCGTGGGACTCTGTAAACTTCTTGGACTGCATATTTTGTGCCCTTTCAAAACAGTACCCTATGGTGTTTTGGGATGAGGTAGAAGTATATTTTAAAAGAGGAGAGGATGCAAAGCAAAAGCACAAATTCCACACAGTGGTCATCTGCCATGAGGGAGTGGATGAAGTGGAATCAGGGGCCTTGACTGTGTCTGAAATACTTAATTTCCTCGGAATATTTTTATTTTAAAAAATATTTTATTTATTTATTTTCAGAGGGAGAGCAAAGGAGGGAGAAAGAGAGGGAAGGAAACACCCATGTGTGAGAGAAACATGGATCAGCTGCCTCTCACATTGCCCCAACTGGGGACCTGGCCCGCAACCCAGGCCTGTGCCCTGATTGAGAATTGAACTGGCAACCCTTTGGTCTGCAGGCCAGCGCTCAATCAGCTGAGCCACACCAGCCAGGGTTCTTCAGATTATTTTTTTCCTTTTCTTTTTTATTCCCCCCCCCCCAGACTATTTTTAAACACACACATACACGAGAGAGAGAGAAGGGGAGAAATTGGGGTAAAGAAACTCTAACATCAAAGAGTAGAACCTTTCCTTACATTTCTTGCACTGTCTTAAAACTACAGACCACTTCCTCGACTCTGTGGCAACCATACCAAGCCCCAGGGATCAGATTCTGCTGTCAGTACCAGGCCTGCCGAGGCTGGGCCGGACAATAGCACCACAGAGAGTATCTGGGTGGCTCCTGCAAGAAGTCCTAGCGAATCAGATGCCAGGACACCTGTGAGGAATCAGGTTTTGATGCCTCCAAAATGAGTGCAGAAACGGCAGAGAGGGAGGAAGGTCCTGCCATCCTGTACTTCACAACCTGGCAGGGACATGTCGGCCCTCCTGTGAGGAGGGGGAAGAACCCAGAAAGCCAAAGTCCAAGAGCTCAGGGTAAGAGGTCAGGCTGGGTTTGAGACTAAGTCTTCACTCCCTCATTCATAAAAGGGGAACCACCCCCCCAGGACTGTCATGAGAATTCAGTGAAATAAAGCATGTATGTGACTGTGCTGCAGAACAAGTCCTTGCCAACAATGGCTCCCAACATTCATCACTAAGTCCCTGCAGCAGGATTCCAGATCTTTCACTTTCTTTGGGCAACCACCACCAATGTTTTATTCTCAGCCAATCCCCCTGCCTAGAACCTCGGCTACCAACAGAACAAATTACCTGTGCCCCTTTCCACAAGTGCCATGTAGTAGAGATTGGTGTCCCCGGCCAGTCCAGCCTCCACAATGTCTTTGGTGAAAGGCAGCTCCTAGAAACCACCACGGACAAGGCATGAACTGCTGGCTCCTCTAGTCAAGCCTCCTGCCCTTCTGATGGAGGGGCAGAAACCAAAAGGAGACACGGGCCTACAGTCACCAGGACAGCAACACCGACCCGTCACTCCTCTACCTACCATGTAATCCTCATGGGCAATCGTCACCCACTTCACCAGGCGAGAGACAACCTTTGCAGGGAAGAGGTACTGGCAATCGCTGGTAACTGGTATAATGCCGTGTTCTGAAAGACAGCAAGATAGGTGGTGTCATAGGTAGAAATCAGGGGCCACAATTAGGTGACTAGCATCCTCTGGAGTGTTCAGATGGCCCTGAAAGATGTCCAGGTATACCTGGCACTCAGTAGGTGCCCAGGTCAACATGTGCCAGGAATGTAGGCATAGCAACCTGACCTTCACCTAGGACTACGTGCTTGTGGCCACACTGAGCACCAGCATTCATGATGCTTTATCCTTAAGCAAATGATGGTCAGCAAAAACAAGAACCCCCGGCAGCCAAAACCAGTGACTGTGCCTCTGCAGCAGTGACTGTTAATTAGATCAAATAGCCGAGAGGGCTGTGTTTTCAAGGCTGACCTTGATGGAGGAAATGACTGAGATGTTCTGTGTCAGTTCCTCTAAGGGAAAAAGGCTGGATAACTGCTCCAGCATAAATTCCTGCTGGCATCTCAATAAGCAAATATGCCAACACAGTAAATGCTGTCCAGGATGACAATCATCCAACCTTGAGACAAAACGAATTCAGCAATGCAATACGGATGGGGAGAGAGGCCAAGGGACAAGCAATGCTGCTCTGGAGAGCTCAGGGTCCACACGGAGAACAAGAGCTGAACTAGGGGGCAGGGTCTCTACAGGGACCCCGAGAAGCCAATGTCTTTCCTGACAGTGACTCCTAGATCAGAAAGATCTTAAGCCTCAAGTACCTTGTACAGGATAAGCCCTTGACAAGATTTACTGAATCAATAAGTGAAAAGAAGCCCCCATACGGCCACTACCTTGGTTAGCAGCTCATCAGAATCACCTGGGAGTTTATGAAAAACAGAGGAGCTCAGCCTTACCCTGGAGAGTGTTAGCTCAGTAGGTCTCGGGGGAGGAAAGAGGGGTGGATTTCTGGACAGCTGTATTCAAATAAGCTGGAGGTAAGCTCCACAAACCATGAACTGGCCTTGTACGAAGTATCTGCAGAATGCACACCAAAGTCTGATGTGCACTAACAGGACAAGCTGCTCCTGACCAACTTGTACCACCAGAAGGCTTTGGGCCCCCTCTGCAAGGACCATCCTGACGGCCCCAAGGGGAGCTCAGATCTTGTTTGGGTGGGCCTGCAGATCTCTCCAGTGGCCCTGCCAATACCTCTGCTCAGCAATAGCCGGAAATCCAGCCCTCTTTGATTTGCTGTCAGGATTTCAGACATCTGAGCGAAGGGCTAAGTTTTTTTTGTCTCTGGGTGGCTCTCAAGCCATAGCACTAACCACAGGCTTACCCAGGGATGCAAACTGTTTGTGGAGGGCCAGGCGGGACTGCACTCTGGTCTTCAGCAGTTTCATGGTGGTCTCCATGTGGCTGGCGCTCAGTGAGTGGTCAGCAATCACCGTTTGCTGTGGATGACAGTAGGTGGCGCACCTGAGTGCACCCTGGCCCTTCCTCCAGGCACTGCCCCTCTCCTAGGACCTTCCTGCTTGCCTGTGGCAGCCAAGATCACTCATGCCCCGAGGTGGGCACCTTACGGAAAAGGCAGGGGTTACCTGCTATGACAGACCCGATGCTCAGTCCCAGCAGGAACGACACAAGTTGCTGGGTTCTTAAGAGGCTGTGGCCATCTCCTGAGAAAAGGAAAGCTTCTGCTAAGGTGCCAGATCCCCTGGGTTTCTGCTTATAGTTCATTTTTGGCCTCTTCGTACACGAGACCATGGGGTAGCAGAGCCTAGAACTGTGCTATACCCAGAGCAAGGACCCAAGTTACTTTGACCTAGAGGGTGTCTAGACTGATGGAGAAGGCCCTAAATACCTGTAGGGCTTGGACATTTTAGTGTCCTGAGGGGAGGGAGGACAGATCATATTCCTGAAGGAAAGCACTCTGCTAATTAAAGCCCCCAAAGGCCATCAGAAGCCTTTCTGGAGTCTGTATGGGTAGAGGGGAGGTAGAGCTCTACAGCTAAGAAGACTGGATCAGCGTACACACCTGGGGATGCTCTTTGGGGAAGTGGAGGCCACCCAGCTTCTGTACCCACAAATAGGGGTGACCTAGCTCAAGCACGTAGTCTCTCAAAGTCAGGATGCTGCATAAAAGAATAAAATGACCTTTGTAAGTCCTTTCTGCAATGGTCCCATGACAGAGCCTTCCTCCCATCCACCCCAAACAGGCCGGTCCCGCAGACTCAGCCATGCTTACAGCCGGGCAGCCAGCACAGCCTCTGGACTCTATTGGCTCCCTGCTGTCAATTCCATCTCCCACGTTCACTTTTCCTTTTCTCCTGACAGCCCTCACTCCATAAGCAAATCTCAATGAAAGGGCATTGCACTTGATCCCCTTACCAATTTACCAACTTATAAAATATTTTAAATGTTTTTAATTCTCAGAGAATTAAAATGTTAGAACTTTTTATGATATCACGAGTTCTTACCATGTTCCCCAAGTTTTGACCCACCCTTCCTGCCCATCCATGACCTCCATTTGCCTCATAAGCAGGAAAGGTCATGTGTTGCCTTCTCTCAATACGGCAATGTCTCTTGCCCCACGGCCCCTACCCTCTGAGAGGCTACTGGCCTTGAGCCACCAGAAAAACTCAGAAGCAGAGGCTGACAGAGGAGGAAACACGGCTGACTCACCCAACTTTATCAAACTGGTACTGATTGGCTGGATTCGGAGTTTTCTTTCCATGATCCCCAGGATACAAACAGCTCAGGACTGAGTCAGGAGACAGCAAGTCACTGGAAAGGCAGAAGACCGCAGTGAGAATGCCGTCCCACACAGTGTCTTGGGGCAGATGTGGGTGTTCAGGGACAGCAGGGCCACCTCCCACTAATGACCAATGTCACCGTTTATTGAATGCTTCCTGTGAGTCAGATCCTTTACACACCTGAGGTGATTGGATCTCCATAACCTCAATGAGGTAGGGAGTATTATCATCTTCATCTTACAGAAGAGAAACTCAAGGCTTTCAAAGATATGGCTTGTCCAAAATCACACTGCTCCTACGTGCTGAAGCTGGGATTTGCACTATCGTAATTAAAGGCAGTTGTACTCTTAACCACTAAATTACGGAAAACAAAACAACAAAAACAAAACTCCTGTCCCTTCAAGACTTATATGGTGACCAAGGCCTTACCTAAGGGCAGCAAAACCCCATGATACTGGAAAGAGAAATAATCATAATTTTACAGGAGCAGAGATTCCTCATGACCCTAAAAGGAAGTACGCAGCCATGGTGCTGTATCACTTGACCAAATTTCATGCTGCTCACGAGAAAGATCCCTTTTATATTCCCAGAAAAGGACATTATCACATGCACAGGAGACAAGGTGACCCAGTGCTGTAAGCAGATAGGCAGTGATGCCACTGCCACCTACCTGGAATGATTAGGGCACAGCCCGTAATTGAATGTGACAGGCGGAGAAGAGACTGAGTGGAAGGGGAGGATAATGGAGTAATCTGATCACAAAGGACAACAGACCCTATTCTTTCCCAGAACCAGCACAGGGTTCTCCATTTTCTCAGGAACAGCAGCAGGAGCAACTCCGCAGAAGGGGGATCCTGCCGCTCTGAGCCCCCAGTGTGCCTTCGGGACTTAATACTGGGGCAGTGGCAGCTTCGGGCTCTTCTCGGCTCTGCCTCCCCTCCCCCCAGCACCTGCCCCTTTCTTTGCCTCACATGAGAAATGGGCTAGAAAATAAATAAGAATTGCCAGTCTTTGGGCCAATGTTTAGCGACTATTACCAACAGAATGAATCAACCAAAATAAAACAGAGTAGCTAAAACTGCACATGATATGGGTTTCTAACTGACAAAACTTGCTGTAATCATCAAATCTTCTTGACGAAACTTACATCTGTAATATGTGTCTTAAGACAAATGATTTTGGTAAAAATGACAGACATGCAAGGGGAAGCTACACACAGTCATAAAAATACAACACCAAAACACAAAAAGAAAAACTATTCAAGTACTCAAATCTTTGTTATAAAATTTTAATGAAAAAAGGATTTAAAAAACGTTGGTAAAATAATAATGGAAAATGATTAAAAATAGTTTAATGGCTTCATGAAAAATTAATGAATTAAAAAGCCCCAATGAGATCATTCTGGAAAATAATTTCTTCAGGAAAATTCAGCCAGGCTGGCATAATTCTGATGAAAATGTTTGTATTAAAAACACTAATTCCCTAATGAAGTACTAGATCCTGACAACAGTCATCCATATTGCCAACACCACAGAGAGAGATTGCCCGGCTCTCCTGACGGAAACACTGGAGAACATCCGTGACACAGTCCTGCCCTCCTGACCCCCTCCAAAAAAACCAAAATGGAATTTTATCAAGCCTCTCAATCTAACTACAATTGACACGAAATACACACAGAAGGAGTAACCCATAAAATTGTACTGCAGGAATGCAATCATCGAAACCTAATTCTGGGGGAAACCTACAGTGCACAGAAACACACTTTCTCAACAAATCAAAAGATCGCAGAGACATCCGGAAGAAAAGAGGCTTGGAAGAAACTTCACCCAATTGCAACACACAGACCTTACAGAGATCCTGAGTCAAAACCCAAATTATAAAAACCAAACTAAACAATTAACAAAAAACATTCATGAGAAAACCACAGAAATTTGAACTCTGACTGACTGGCTATTGGGTGAGATTAAGGAATTAGCATAAACAGTAATTATATTGAACAACAAAAAAGTAGATAGATACCTAACACCATACACCAGGCTGGTGTCTCCAGGGGCCGGAGCAGCCTGCACTTGAGCCAGGGCATCTGGAGCTCTAGGCCCAGGGCTTCCATGGCCGTATGCCCCTGGAGCTCAGTTTTCTCCATTTGCACAACAGGGAGATAAGCTAAACACCTGAAGGCCCATAAAGACCTTATCCTGGTTTCAGGCCGGTCTCCTTCTGCGTCTCCTCTCTCTTTGGGGGCCAGGACCCACATGGCAATGACAATAATACAGCAGACTGGTGCACAGGCCTCAGTGTTCTCGCCTCATAAGCTACTGTGAGAGTTAAATGAGTTGCTAAGGATAAACACAGCTGTCATTTACAAAGTGCTTCATCTATGCTAAGCACTTGACCTTAATCTTCACAAGCTCCCTAGAAGTGGATGTTATAATTGACAACCACAGAATGAGGAAACTCAGAAGCCAGGATATTTGGCTAAAGGTGCACACAGAGCTCTAAGTGGCAGGCCTGGGACTCACCAGGGCTCATAACTAGTCTGCAGTTCTGCCCCCATCACTGCACGTGCACAGCCTAGCGAGGAGCTGAAGGTAAGCATGTTTGAGGTCAGCCTGCAACCCTATTAGGACACCTGAGAAGTGAGTAGGCAGAGTGCTTGTGACAAGGAGATCTGCCTCAGCCGGAGCCCCTAAGGAGCACCAGAGCGGGTCACTGAACCAAGAGCCCTGCCTGGGCAGTGTAACTGGGCGCTTGAAGAAGCAAGCCCTGGGCTCCCTCTGCTGGGGTCAGGTGGGAACAGGGTCATTTCATCCAGAGTGCCCCTGGGGGGTCAAAACTCAAGCACAGGGACCAAGGCTATGGCCTGAAGGAGGCGTGATCTGTAAGTGCAGGGCGGAAAACCTGGGGACACTATTAGGCAGCCATAAAAAGCCCTGCCCCGCCCTGGCTGGTGTAGCTCAGTGGATTGAGAGAGGAACTAAGGGATCGTGGTTCAATTCTCAGTCAGACACATGCCTGGGTTGCAGGCCAGTTCCCAGCAGGGGACACATGAGAGGCAACCACACACTGATACTTCTCTCCCTCTCTCCTTCCCTTCCCCTCTAAAGATAAATGAATAAAATCTTAAAAAAAAAAAAAAAAAGCCTTGCCCCATTAGGTGCCAGACTTGTGTCTCCGTCAGTGGTCTTTCCACCGCTAGATGAGGACTCAGTGGGACCAGGTAAGGGCAGGGGCAGAAGGAGTGCCAGGGCAGGCCAGTGTTCTTGTATGTGAGGCTATTGCACCCTCAGGCCCTCTAGGTCCTCCTCCCTTCCTCCTACTTCCGGCGGTGGGAGACAACTGCCACAATCAGGGGCCACTACGCATGTCTGACCTACGTCTGCCAATACTATGCCGCTGCTCACCCTCCTCAAAAACCCCACAGGCCCACCACAGTCCTCCTCCCACTGCCCAGGTAAGGACAACTTGGGACTGCGCTGAGCTGTGAAGTGGAAATCCAAGCACCTTGGGAGAGAAAGAGGAAAGGAAAAGAGAGCGACCAAAACTGGTCAACCCGATAATGTCTCCCAAATCTCACTTTTACATTTACACTCTTTCCACACTGGTTGTAAAAAGCTGGTACTCTGTCCCACCTACTCAACTTGCAACATGTTGTAGTCACTTCTGTCATCTGCTGTGTAGGTGTATTTCAACAATTCAAGTTGGTGAGTGCTTTCTAAACGCCAGTTACACTCCAGGACTTTCAGGCAAAGTGGACGCGGCGACAGAAGTCAAAGTAGTCATGAACCTCCCGGAGCCAGATGACAAAGATACCGAGAGCAGTCCAGCACCCAGGTTCTTGGCACAGCACAACCCCGCCCCGCCAAACCTGTCCCACTCTCTGCAACGCATGCTCAGTACCCTGCACTGATGGGGGTGATCAGCTCTGTGGCGGTTGTCACTTTGGCCTTTACTGTCATGATGTTGAGGTTCATGAGATAGTAGAAAGTCAGGTGAAGCACACTGTCATCTGGACGAGGAGAAAAGAAAAAAATTTATGAGTAAAACATAAGATCAGGGTCAATAGTTTTATAAAAAAGAAAGTCAACAGGCTTTAGGATATTTTACTATAGCCCTGGCTGGTTTGGCTCAGTGGATTGAGTGCTAGTCTGAGAACCATGGGGTCATGGGTTCGATTCCCAGTCAGGGCACATGCCTGGGTTGCAGACCAGGTCCCCAATGGAGGGTGTTCAAAAGGCAACCACACATTGATGCTTCTCTCCCTCTCCCCTTCCCTTCCCCTCTCTCTAAAAAATAAAATAAAATCTTCAAAAAAAAAAAGGTGGGGGGATAAGATTAAGTGATCACCAAGTGAGTCCAGGTTAACAATGCCAGTAATAAGACACAATGGGTGGGGTTGAAGAAGGGCACAAGGGGGAAAAATAGTAATGGAAAAAAAGACAATTAAAACAAAGAAATTTAAATAAGTAAAAAGACACAATGACACTATGTACCCTGATAGGATGTGAGCTGATATGATGTGACAGCAAAGACCACGTCTATGGTCTTCCTCCCCAAAATCCACAACCTCGGTCTAATCAGAAAAAACACCAGACAAGCCCAAATTAAGAGTCTTCCTACACACTAAATAAACCTTGTCTTTAGAAGTGTCAAGGTCATAAAGGACCAGCGAGGACTGAGGAATGCCACTGCCTGGAGGAGACTAAGGGGCACGGTGACCATTTAAGTGCGATGTGAGATCCCGAACTGGATCTTGGAACAGGTAAAGGGCATTCCAGGAAACACCAGGGAAATCTGAGTAAATCCTGCAGTTTAGTGAATACTGTTGCACCAAGGAAATTAGCACAGGCTTTGATCATCTACTGTGGCTAAATAACACACTGAAATTCGGGGAAGCCAGGTGGCGAACCTATACAAACTTTCTGTATTATCACTGCAGCTCTTCTGAGTCTAAAATTACCTCAAAAAAACTTCTTTTAAGGCAAAGAAGGATCAGAGTGCAGAGTATGTATTTCCATTTGTGTTACAGATAAAAGGAGGAGGGGATAAATACAGACTTGGGTAAGAACTACATGCATGGATTATTTCTAGAAAATACATAAGAACCCTGTCATGACAGTTCTCCCTGGAGGTAAAGCAAGGACCAGAGTCTGGGAATCTGGATGAGAAAGACACTTACATTTGACCTTCAACTCTTACACTGCTGAATGCTTTACCACATGCTCCTTTATCTATACCAAAGCAATTTCAAAACGTATTCTCTGCAGAGCCCAAAGTCCAACTTATTAAATTAAGCATGTTGGCTAAATAACTCAAAACCTGCATACTCTTGCAACTTGTTCTGTGTATGTGATATTTAAAATTCACAAAGAGGTGCAGTTTTTTCAAGCGTCCCTATGCGTTTGTTGTTATAGTATGACTTAGGGGAGGAAAAAAACAAACTCCATGCAAAACAATGAGGATAAACAAAGAAACATGAAACCAAAATCTGTTCTTGGGCAGAGGCCTCTGGCTCGCTGGACCCTGTGCGCCTACAGCTCGCTGAACTCTTAAGAGCTCTGGGATCCCCGGAGTAAGTGGAGCCAGACCTTTGCACTTCAGGTCCAGCATGAGAGACAGGGGGTGCCGCTTCAGCATCTCCTTGCGCTTGTCATCCAACTGAACTCCCAGGGTGGGTCGCCGGCGTTTCTGGACAAAGGAAGGAACGGAGATGATGGACACTGGTCATAGGAATCTCTCCCTTCCTTCTCCCAACTGGCCAGGCCTTAGCACTGCTGCCTGGGACCTGATTCTTCAGCTCTTCAGCTGCCAGGCTCCCAGCAGCCTTTTCTTTCAAACCTTTCTTCTGCTTCTAGGAAGAATGGCACCTGCTAACTAGCAGGCCCCAGTGCAGCTGCTTGGTACGCCCGCGAGAGGAAACAGCTCTCACCGTGGTCTGCTCCTCCTCAGCATCCGAGTCGCTCTCGTCATCTGCAGCCACAGAGAGAAACACCTACAGTGAAGGGAGCTCCCAATGCTCCCTGAAGCACCTCAACCCATGGGGCATATAGGGACCCAAACTCTGTGTCATTTGTATATAAACTTTTAAAGAATAAATAATATATTAATTTGCTGCTTTGTATTCAGATAGAAAACATGATGATGCAAGAGAAAAAGAGAAATAACCTGTAATTCCACCACCCATCTTTTAAAGTGTTTTTTAACATTGCCCTATGGACTACAAGCCCCCCACTGCTAGTGGTGGTGGTGGTGGTGGTGGCAATAACAGTAATAGAAGTAACAATAAAAGCAGCCCATACAATCTGAGGGGTCGCTGTGTGCCGAGGATATCAAGGGCCTATGCATGCATGACCTTGTTTAATTCACATAATCATTCTACATGAGGTATTACTACCTGCTTTGACAGGTGACTAAACTGAGGCTCAGAAATGTCAGTTTCCCAGGAATGAATGAGCTAGTGCGTGGCAGGGCTGAAATCCAAAGGCGGTGCTTTCCCTGTCTGCCCCTGAACATAGTCAACCACCTTGTTAAACACACCTAGCACAGCCGATTTCCAAAGGACCCGCGCTGCCCTTGGGTGGTGGCTTAGTGTGCCTGGAACCCATTACAGAAAACTCAGGGCAGGGGATCCTGACCAGCACATTACCTTGGGAGTCCTCGTGAGGCTTAAACAGAGCCTTGGCTTCATCCACACTGCCTTCGATTGCCACTGACAACGTCTTATCTGGGAGCAAGAAAAAGCTTTGTATGACATGCGCTGAGGGAATGAGCTAAGCTACACAAGAAGATGGGCTCGGGGCCTGCATTTCTTCTGCCTTTGCCATGGCTCCTTACTGACTGGGGGTGGGAGGACAAAAGCCCTTTCTCTAGATGAAAATGAACAAACTAGGAAACTTGAGTCTTTTTTGCATCACTTACTGACAACAAAGAACCCAAAGTGCAGATCCCTGGACAAGTCTCATCTGAGACTAGTGGTTAATGTAAGTGGTTAATGTAAGCCTGTTTTCAGGCTTACACCAAGGTACAGAAATCCCAACCTAAGGCCTAAAGTTAATGTTACTCTTCCGCCAACTGTCTTAAAAGTCCTCATGCAGAAGTGCCTAACCATCCACGTCCCAGACTAAGTGCTTATTCTCTATTCCACACTACGCCAAGTACCTGGGTGGCATTGTCACATTTAACTGAGAGGCAGGACGGTGGGCAGAAACTTGGACCCTGCAGTCCAGTCCTAGGTCTGAATTGCTGTCCCGCCAGTTCCCAAACACGTGCCCTGAAAAGTTATGTCACAGCCCTGAGCCCCAGTTTCCGCATTTATGAAATCAGACTGTGACAAATGACAGCTGCCCAGTCAGATAGTGAGGTGATGTTTGTAATGAATGAGCTCATGCTTGTAATTTTAAAATTACACTTTACAAAACTTTAATCTTCACAACAACCCTACAAGAACAATACTATTATTATACATTTTAACCATTTACAGATGAGAAAATTAAGGCTCAGAGAAGTTTGATTCAAAAGCCAGGAATAGTAAGATAGGCCTATTCAACTTGTGCTTGGCACCATGCTCAGGTCTATTCAAGACCATTTCTTTCCAACTTGACCTTGGCATCTCAAGTAAAAAGAGGCCTGTTCCACGCACCAGGCCTGATGCCTCCTTGAGTGATGCCTGACCCTGACTTTGTGGGGCCTCATTGGTCTAGGGCTGGGAGATCAGACAGGACACCCCTTCTCCTGCTCCACTTAAAAAAGCACACAGGTTACAGACAGTCACTGAAGACTGAAATGATCTGCCCAACTGTACGAAGTAGAGGTGGCAAACTCCCCCCCAGTGGCAGGCACTGAGGTAATACTCCCAGAGGCCAACCACTTCTCTCTGACAACCCAGCATGGCCCATCACACCGTACCCCAAATAAGCTGGCTGTGCCCATCAACCACTGGCAAACTTTTGAGTAGTTTAGTCCTGGAATTCTACAGTAAAAGGAGAATGGAAACAGGTTGGGGTTTAAACACAAAGGAAAATTACTCACCCTGTCTAGGGGGCTGGGAAGATTTCATATGAGCTGATGATGAAAACAGAAAGGAGAACAAAGGGGAGGGAGAGGACCAGAGGGACCAGGAAGACATAAGAAGAGAGAGAGTAATGTATTGGTGCCTATGGCTGGGAGGAGAGGCATGCACTGGTGGGAGGGGGTGGGAAGTTTAGGTGCTGGGTGAAAGCTGCAGTAGGGCAAGAGGCGGGGTCTCCAAAAGCTTCTCAAAACCCTAGTGGAGCAAAGGGCTGCCTTTAGCTTAAGGAGGACACATCCTCTCACTGGGTAATTCACCGTAATGACACGCAGCCTGTTTGGAGCATGGAAAAGCCTAGGAGAGCTGACCAGGACCTGTGCTTACCAAGCCCCTTCCCTGAAGCAGAGCAGGAGGTGCCAATCTACCTGCCAAGCGTGCTTTGGGCTGCCTGCGCACTGCACCCAAGAGCTGACCAGCCAGGCTCCTCAAAGATTCAAAGCCATCCACACTGAAATGCCCATCAGGTTAGTCCAGCCTCAGGCCAGCCAGTCAAAGCAGCCATGCTGGGTAATGCAGAGGGGAGGCAGCATCTGTCACCTGAGGGCTTTGGAGCAAGGCCTGGGAGCTTTCCTCAGCAGGCAGTGCTTCCAAATGACCCAATCAGCCACAGCTTCTGCTCCCTCAGCCCCTTTTCCTCACCTGGCCCCCATACTTACCACAGGCCTGCCCATACGCAGTGGCCTGAACAAAGAGGACATAGAGGGGAGGCGGCAGGTGTCTGGCCGTCTCATATTGCTTGTGAGCCTGGTCGTAAGGCATGAACAGGTACTCTTGCACTGGGAGGGAAGCCTGTATGCAACAGAAGTGGGATTTTTATTTTTCCATTTTAGGCTGTCTACATATGAACATGTGGCTGCATAGTTACTGTACATAGTTTTTTATTTGTAAAAGTGATACACGATAAGCTAACAGAACTAACCGGTAGATAAAAGGTCAATATAAAAAAAATCGGTTGTATTTCTTTATGCAAGCAACAAACAGTAAGAAAATGAACTTAAAAAGATAACATTTCCAACAGCATCAAGAAAACATCGAATGCCTAAGAATAAATAAATGAAGGTGCATAAACCTCTACACAAAGACCTGAGAAAGGAAAGATCTAAATGAATGGATGTATGTCATGCTAATGGCCTGGAAGACTCCCATATTTTCCCTGAAGTGATCTACAAATTCAGTGCAATCCCACTCTAAATTCCAGCAGGTGAAAACAGACCGGCTGACTCTAAACTTTTTTGTAAATACAAAGGTCCAATAATATCCAATAATCCCGAAAAATGAAGCTGGAGCACGTACACTACTGAGCATCAAGATTTCTGCTAAAGTTACAGGAAATAAAACAGTATGATACCGGTGCACAGACAGACAAACAGATCACACCTAGACCTGCACACAGACATTTGATTCATGAGAGAGACACTGCAGAATGATGGCGAAAGAATGGTCCTTTCAATAAACGAGTCAGCTGAATACCTACAAGGGAGAAAAGGTAAATCTGATCCTTACCTCACACTACACACAAAATGCACTTCCAGGAAGATTATAGATCTAAATGTGAAAGGTAAACAATAGAGTGTCTATAAGAAAAACAAGAGAATATAATATCTCCATGACATTCGGACAGAGAAATATTTTTCAAGTAGGATACAAAAGCACTAGCTACAAGAACAACACTGGTCATTAGATCATATTAAAATTAAGAACAATGCTCATTAAAAGATATGAGAGGAAGTTACAGAATGGAAAAGATATCTGCAAAATATCAGAAAATATAAAAAACTCTAAGCAATCCAACAGACAAATGGATGAAAGACCTGAGCGGGCCCCTGACCGAAGAGTTAATCCAAAAGCCAACAGACACACAAAAGGTGCTGTACTCAACTGTTCCTGGTCCAGGGAAAGGGAAATGAAAACCATAAGCAATGCCCTCCACAGTCGCTACAATTAAGAATGACAATATCACCCTGACTGGTGTGACCCGGGTAGGAAGGTCGCTGGTTCAATTCCTGGTCAGGGCACACGCCTGGCCTGGGCTGCGGGTCTGTCTTCAGTTGGGGTGCTCACAAAAGGAAATGTTTCTTTCTCACATCAATGTTTCTCACCCTTTCTCCCTCCTTTCCCCTCTCTAAAAATAAATAAATAAAATCTTAAAAAAAAAAAAAAAAAAGACTGACAATGCCAAGCGTTGATGAGGATACAGAACAACTAGAACTTTCATACAGTGCTGGAGGAAATGTCCATAAACCAGTACAATCATTTTAAAAACCTAAGTATGTGCACAGAATATTTTTTTAACAGAAAAAATTAAGTACAACTAAAAGTTTCTGGTTTTTTTTCTTTCTGTCCTATTATGAAGTGCTACTGGGAATACTTCTGTTTTAACAATTCCAAGTCTATATGCCCAGAGCTGAAGGGAGGAAATGCGGATCTTGCCAAATCCCAGAAAAAGAGAATTTATCATTTCTCTAGGGGCCTTCTGCAAAGTTCCCTCATAGTAACCATATACCCTGCTTCATAAAACTATAGGGATTTAGACCAAGTCTGGTTTCACAAAGCAAACAAAATCAGGTCACCGATGTAGAAAGACTTGACATTTTACAGGTAGAGTGGGGACTGTTCCTCCTAAGGTACCTAATGGCTTTCAAACATCATTACGGTTCTTTTCAGAGTGAGTAGATCTGAGGATCTGCCCGAGGTACAGTCAGGGGGAATCAAACAGCCACAGAAACACGCTGCAATGCCTGGAGACTTCAGGGGCTGGTAAACACCATGCGGTTGGTAAACTAAGGAGTTTGCAAATGTGTTTTGTCTGGGTGAGGCTCTGCGTGGAAAGAAAACGTCCCACGTAAAATGTGTGGATAATGTTCCCAAGTCCAGCCGAACAGCTTCTCTTCCACCCAGGACACAACCTTATCATGCCAGCTCGGCAGGATGTTAGCCAGGACCATCCTCACACTGCACATTAACCCAGATTAGGGTAACACACCGGGCAAAACCCAGAGGGAAACGTGGCTGCCGGCAGCTCAGATCAGCAAGGCCTCACTGGTTCTTCAATGAAGGCAAAAGGCTGAGGGGGTGGAGGTTTGGGGGGAGGCCCTCACCTGCATGATGCTGTTCAGGCGAGGCTGAAGGCTGCTCAGGTACTCCTTCTTCACCTCAATCTCCTTAAGGATCTTCTCCTTGTTGGACAAGGACTCCCGGTACTTCTCTGCCAGCCTGTTGGGAAAGGATAGGGCACTGACACTAGATGCTCTCCAGGGCTGTCCTGACACGCCTGTTCACTGTCAGAACTCACCAAAAAACAGCAGTCTCCATGAACTCATGTTTACCTAGCACTTATTACATGCCAGGTACTTTGAAGAACTCCTTATAAGCATTATTGCATTTAATCCTTATAAAAACATTGAAAGATCGGTACTTTTCGTATCCCCAAAGGAGGAAATGAAGGATCAGGGAGGCAGGTAACTTGCTCAAGGTCATCCAATGAAAAACGAGCACAGAGCTGGGCTTCGAATCTGTGCCTGTCTGGCTCCAGAGGCCCTGTCCATAACCTCTAAGAAATACCCATGTCATCATCTGTTCCATTTCTTCTTTTTAGCTTTTTTATCCTCACCTGAGGATGAGCTTATTGATTTTAGAGAAGGGAAGGGAGGAAGACAGAGGAGAGAAACCTTGATGTGAGAGAGTAACACCAACTGAGTGCCTCTCATTCGCGCTCAGACCAGGGACCTAACCTGCAACCTAGGCATGTGCTCTGACCAGGAATTGAACCTGCAACTTTTTGGTTTATGAAATGATGCTCCAACCAACTGAGCCACACTGGCCAGCTTTTGGTCCATTTCTTGCCTCCAGTGGCAAGTCCCAAAGTTTCACAAATATGTGGACCTAGCTACAGGACTCAAATGAGGCCATCGAGTGGCTTGAGCAGGGCAGACTCAGGGTGGATTCCAGACCAGGGCCACAGGAACGCAACACGCACAGTTCACCTGTGCCCAGGACACAGGGGTGCCAGGCCGGCCCTATCTGCTAAAGAACTGACACCAGTTTCTTAGGAATCAGACTTTAGTGCTTATTAAATTCATAACGTGGACCACGACACAGAACACAATGTATAACAGAAAAGGCAAGAGATAAAAACAGCTGCTTCTCCAACAAAGAAAGGAGACGTGCCAACCCGAAGCTTTAGAATTCTTATATAATATGAAAGGGAAAAAAGCCACCATAATGGAAGAGATACAGTTATTAAGATTCCAGGATTAAAAAAACCAAACAACACCCTCCATATTCTTAGAAAGACCTAGATTAAATTACGCAGTATAGACATTCTATTTACAGTAACTAAAATCTCTTCATTAGTACAGGAAACTCTTACATCTATAGGTATGCCTTGAAGCATTATTTATGATCCCCCAAAATGGGAACAAACTAAGAGTCCAATCCAGTAAAAGGAATAATTACGAGTATTACAACTGTCTATATGTTGAATGTTGCACAACTTTCTAGAATAATGTTTACAAAGCTTTAAAATACCACAGTGAGCCCTGGCCAGGTGGCTCAGTTGATTGGAGCATCAGCCTGTACACCAAAGGTTGTGGGTTTGATTCCTGATCAGGGCACGTGCCTAAATTGTGTGTTTGATCCCTGGTGGTGGTGCATACAGGAGACAACTGATTAATGTTTCTCTCTCACATTGATTTTTTTCCTCTTTCTTTCTCCCCTCTTTCCCTTCCTCTATCTCTAAAATCAGTAAACATATCCTTGGGCGAGGATTAAAAAACACACACACATAGGGATATTCTTATAGGCAGGGGGAAAGACCGAAAAAATATTTAGGGCTCAGGTGTTAAGATTTTAAAAGAAAGCTTACACCAACTTTCTGTTAATAGCCTTAAGCAATTCCAACCCTACTCACTACACGGTTGGCCAATTTTTTACTAACAGGTGTGAATAAATCACAAAATGAGATTTGGTCTCAAAGAGACTATTCTGCTAGTTGCTCAGCAGATTGTGGGGCAAGACAAAGTACTGCACCCTGTGGTTAAAGCACTTTGTCTGAACAGGTTAACAAGGTCAAGAGGGAGGAGACACTACCTTTTCCGCTGCTCCAGCTCCCAATCCAGACGTGCAAGGGTTTGCTGGTGAGGGTCTCCCATGGTGATTTCAGCCTTGCTGATGTCTGGAGGAGCCTCTCTATAAAACTCCTCTAAACTGACCAGATCGATTTCTTCATGCTTTGACCTACAGACAAAAATGAAGGTTAAGCTGCTGTTGCTGGGAACCCACACTGTGGCTTAAGCAGGCCCGAAGTTCCTCCCCATGTACGCCCACTTAGCCCAGGCCTACAGCTACCCAGGGACATGGAGTCCAGTCTGCTCAGCAAATGGTCATTAGCAGAAGTATCAGATGGAGAGAGATAGTTGGTGGCATGCCATAGGCTCCTTACCCATGCTGCCAACCTTTTTATCCATGAATTAGCTAAAGACCTGGCTGGAAGGGATGCTTACTGAACTCCCAGACATCTCCAGGATGAAAGCTATTAGCTTAAAAAGCCAAATAAAAACACTATGGTCTAGGCCTAGACAGTCAGGTTAGAACCGAGAAATATCATTTACCAGAAATAAACATAAGGGTCTGCACTTAAGTTCCACATGTTAGCTGTGTAAGCACGGGATGGGGCAGATCCAGCATGGAATAACCAGATGGGAAAACAATCGAGAGGCTTTACATGCTGCATGTAGAGAGACATACGTGTATAAAGAAAAGAAATGCAACACTTTGCCCTGCGTTAACATGGTGCACAGGTTGTGAAGAAATGATGGTGATAACAGTTGCTACTGTACATCAAACACATGGTGTATGTCGTCCTCACCTGACTTAATTCTCACAACTCTAAAATGGGAATTTTTATCTCCATTTTTCAAATGACACGGAAACTTCCATAGTTAAGCAGTATGCCCCAGGTCACACGCATCTAGTGTGTGGCAGAGCTGAGATGCGGGCTGTATCTACTGTGGCCACTGCCTCTCTGTGGATCGGTTCCAGTGTATTTTGGGTTTATCAGTTCTCATCTGAGCAATAGTTACAGGTAGGGGCATGCATTCTTTTACTTCGTTTTTATACCTTTATTTTTAAATAGCTTAAGTCTCACAAGATATTTCAAAAAGAGTACTGAACATTTACTTCTCCCATGTACTCTTCCCCGGGTTCCTCCAATAATAGTATCTAAACAGTACAAAGTCAAAACCAGGAAAGTGACAACTATACAAGACTATTAACTCAGGTACCGACCTGATGTGGATTTCACCTCTATTAGTATTTAAGTATTATTATCTGACGAATTTGTGGAACAGATAAAGATGCCTCTCAAAAATCGTCCTTATTAAAAATACGTTAGACCCAATGTCTGATGTGCCCACCCACCCCAAGTTTATTACAAATAAAACCTGCCTCCTTTCAGTTTGCACAACTGGGTCTGACCAAACGAGAACACGTTCCCTTCTCTTCTTCTGTCTACTCCTTCCTCCTTCTCATCTTTCAGCCTGGATTAGCCAAGAGGCATTAATTACTTTATGAAAGAATACTGCCAGACTCTGTTCACCAGCAGACAGCTAAGCAGTAAGAAATGCAGGTTCCAAAGAACAAAATCCACCTGCAAAAATGAATTGTTGGAACTTTAGAGATGGAAACTGGGCCAATGGTTAAAAGGGCATGACTGGAAGCGAGTCGCTTCCACACCAAGTACTCAGGAATCGAACTGGTAATGAATGCAGAGGTCCCTATTAGGGAGAGACAACTGCTTGTACCAGGTACAGAGCTCAAAATTCAAAAGGGTCAGATAGGCTTCTGAGTTTCTTGGTGCAGCCTGAAACTGCTTCCAATTTTCCCAAAGTAATCTATACACCCTTCTCCCAGGTCCTACAGTTTCCACAATCGCCTGATTTCTTTTTTAAAAGACTAGCTCACGCAGAGCTATGCAGGAAAAAAAGCAGTTACCAACAGACCATGTTGCAAAGCCCTGTCCTCCAAAACTCACTTAAACTCCAAGCATTTGGTGATCTCCTTCTGCAGGTGCATCACTTCGTACAACAGGTTCTGGAGCTGCAGGTGATAGGCGTCTACTTTCTGCTTGGCCTGAAAAGAGGACAAGGCCAGAGGTGAGTGGGGCAAGTTGGGGTGGGGCACGATGGAGCAGAGCAGCAGCAAACTCAGAGAACAGGATAAAGGAGATTGAGAAGAGGGTGGGGAGCAGGAGGGTTACACCTCCCAACTGTACCTCGTGGGTCTGATCTCTTCCTTTCTTCAACCTGATGTGGGCTAATCGGTTAAGCTTCTTTAGAGTCATGAAATGCACACAGCTCTGGATCCTTCGATCTTCAATCTCAACTGCCTGAAGGCAAAGAAAAACTGATAAACCTCAACCATGGGTGCTGCGAAGCTTCCTTCTGCTCCAAAATGAAGACACTGGAAGGAGCTCAGAACCATGAGAAGAGTCAGAGAGGAATGAAAGAATGACTAATTGTACAAGGGAAATGCTTAAGGTTTTTAGGCCAAAAAAAGCACTTTCTGCTTGGACCAAAGTATTAAGAATTGAATATCGAGGCCAAGATGGAGGCATAGGTGGAGACGCCGTGCCTTCTCACACAACCAAGTTTAGAGACAACTAAATATTAGCAACAAAAAACACAGCCAGAACACAGAAAATTGAACTTTTCGGAAGTCTGTTAACAACAAATTCTTCAGCCTGACCGGTAAGGGGCAAAACCAGCAGCTGGCAGAGTGGGGTAGCACAGGAAAACTCGGTCAGACGGACTCAGGCGCGCGGAATCCAGGCACAGGGTTGGACCTAGTGAGAGACCCAGCGACCGTGTGGAAACAGCGAGGGAGCAGGGCTGCGGGTTGACTATGGTCGCGCATTCGTGCATGGATAGACAAGCAAGGGAGTGGGCAATTGGACTGGGACCCAGTGGGTCCCTGCGGCAAGCAGCAGCAGAGGGCGCCGCCACTTCCCCGCTCTGACCCCACCTCCACATATAGCGTGGTAACCCAGTGACTCTGAGTGGCCCGGCCCTGGTGAACCACCTAAGGCTCTGCTCCTCACCCAGCGGCGTGAACAGACCAAAAATGGCTCAAGAAGAACTCAAAGCCCCAGAGCCTATAAATTTAAGCGATGAAGAAATAGCAAAATTCTCAGACGCACAGTTTAAAACACTGGTGATCAGGATCCTCACAGAACTGGTTGATTATAGCCACAAATTAGAGAAACATATGAAGGCGAAACTAATGGAAATGAATGGAATTGCACAGGAAACCAATAGCGATGAAAAGGAACCTGGGACTCAAATCAATGGAGTGGAACAGAAGAAAGCAAATAATGGCCAAACAGAAAAGAGTCAAGAAGCAAGAATTAAAAAAAATGAGGAGAGTCTTAGGAACCTTCAGGACATCTTTAAACGCTCCAACATCTGAATTATAGGGATACCAGAAGGGGAAGAGGAACAGCCACCAGTGGAAAACTTATTTGAACAAATAATAAAGGAGAACTTCCCCAATCTGGCAAAGGAAATAGACTTCCAGGAAATCCAGGAAGCTCAGAGAGTCCCAAAGAAGTTGGACCCAAGAAGGAACACACCAAACATCATAATTACATTAGCCAAGATTAAAATGAAGAAGAGAATCCTAGAAGCAGCAAGAGATAAGGGGACAGTCACCTACAAAGGACTTCCCATCTGACTGTCAGCTGATTTCTCAAAAGAGACCTTACAAGCAAGAAGGGGCTGGAAAGAAGTATTCCAAGTCATGAAAACCAAAGACCTACAACCAAGATTGCTCTATCCAGCAAAACTTTCATTTGGAGTGGAAGGACAGATAAAGTGCTTCTCAGATAAGATCAAATTCAAGGAGTTCATCATCACCAAGCCCTTATTATATGAAATGTTAAAGGGACTTACCTAAGAAAAAGAAGATAAAAAAGATGAACAGTGAAAGGACAGCAGACTCACAGTTATTAACAACCACACCTAAAACAAAAGCAAACTAAGAGGACAGCTAGATCAGGAGCAAACCATAAAAATGAAGATCACATGGAGGGTTAGCAACAGGGGAGTGGGAGAAGGAGAAGGGGGGAGAAGGTACAGAAAATAAGTAGCATAGACAGTAGATAGAAAATAGATGGGGGGGGCAAGAATAGTATGGGAAATATAGAATCTAAAGAACTTGAGAAAAAAGGGTATCAAAAAAGGGGAAAAAAACTAATGGATAATAATAAAAGATAAATAAATTAAAAAAATAAATAGAAAAAGAAAAAATACGATGGGAAAATAGATAGGGGGGAGGGCAAGAATATAGGAATACCAAAGAACTTGTGACACATGGACATAAATGAAAGGGGGGAATAGTGGAGGAGGGGGTGTGCAGGGTGGAGGGGAATGAAGGGGGGAATAGGACAACTGTAATGGCATAATCAATAAAATATATTTTTAAAAAAACAATTTCATTTTTGATCTCTATGATTTACTTGTATATATCCTTACAATTCTCCTTACAATAGCAAGGAAACTTACATGTACTATCATTTCTCCTCACCTAGCAAAATACTTAGCACTTAATAAATATTACAGTAGTTGGATGAATTATCAAATTATAGGAATGAAAGAAATAATTATCTTGTACTTTCATTACTTTATATAACTGGTGACTGGGTGATAATGAGAATTTCCAATAAATTAATAGGCAAGTCTCCAGAGCCCCCAGGCTGCAACCAACTACTCGCAGCTAAGACAGGAGACCAAGATCAGGAAGGGCTCCGTAGGTGCAAGACAGGCCCACCCATGCAGACCCACCAGGTCCATGTGTGTCCAGTCCACTCCTTACCACATCCTTGCCTCCCCTGCTCTTCAGGTCTTGGATCTCAGCCATGAGTCTCTGCAACTCCTGGCATGTGTACTTGTACAGCTCATAGTCTCTTCCAGGGTCCCGCAGGTCTACCTCAGCCTCCTCACTGTAGTATTTACCTTCCTGTGGAGGCAAGGATACAGGACTTGGGGAGGGAGTAAAAGTCTCCCTGTCAGGACCAGGCATAGGGAGGGATATGGGCTGAGACCAGTAATCATGAACCCCCAAATCAGGTCTCTAAAGGATCTGTTCCTGAGCCCTGGCTGGTATAGCTCAGTGGACTGAGCACGGGCCTGTGAACCAAAGGATTTCAGTTCGATTCCCTGTCAGGGTGAATGCCTAGGTTGCAGGCCAGTTCCCAGCAGGGAATGCATGAGAGGCAACCATACATTGATATTTCTCTCCCTCTCTCCTTCCCTTCCCCCCTAAAGATAAATAAATAGCCCTGGCTGGTGTGGTTCAGTGAATTGAGCACGGGCTGCAAACCATGGAGTCGCTGGTTCGATTTCCAGTCAGTGCACATGCCTGGGCTGCGGGCCAGGTCCCCAGTGGGGGCCACATGAGAGGTAACCACGCATTGATGTTTCCCCCTCTTTCTCCCTCCTTTTCCCTATCTCTAAAAATAAATTTAAAAAATCTTTTTTTAAATCTAAAAAAAAAGAATCTGTTCCTCACATCACCTGTTTTTCTTTGTTTCAAAATGGAAAATAATTCCTCTTCTGATTATAAAGTAATGCATGCTTAGTGACAGAGATTCAGAACATAGAGACGAGTATCAAAAAACAAAATGAAAAATTGCTGCCCCGGCTGGTATAGCTCAATGGATTGAGTGCTGGCCTGTGAACCACACAGTCCTGAACTGGTTTGGGGCACACGAGAAGCAACCACACACTGATGTGTCTCCCTCCCTTCCCTTCTCTCTAAAAATAAATAAAATCTTAAAAAAAAAAAAAAGAAAAATTGCCTATAATTTCACCTCCCAGTCTGAAATAACTCCATGGCTAATACTGTGGACAAACGCAAATTTTATTTTATTTATTTATTTATTTATTTATTTATTTTTAGAGAGAGGGGATGGGAAAGAGAAGGAAAGGTAGAGAAACATCAATGTGTGGTTGCCTCTCATGTGTCCCCTACTGGGGCATTGGCCTGCAACCCAGGCATGTGCCCTGACTGGGAATCGAACCAGAGACCCTTTGCTTCACAGGCCCGTGCTCTATTCCACTGAGCTACACCAGCCAGGGCGCACATTTTATTTTTTAACAAAATGAGCTCATACTGTCCATGCCGTTTAGTACAATTTTCCATCCCAACACATATCTCCATCAAAATGGCTGCACCACGGCCAGACAGTCCACTATCTAGATAAACCAGAATTAATATCACCACATTCCTATAGAAGAGTGTTCAGATGGTCAAATTAAGCTTTAGTAGAGACTAAAATATCGTAATTGGTCTCCAAGCCTTTGGAGTAAACAGAACAAATCTCTTTAATAGAGAGTTAATAGTTAATAATACTGTATTGCACATTTGAAAGCTGCTAAGAGGGTACATCTGAGAAGTTCTCATCATAACAAAAAAGATTTTATAACTATGTATGGTGAGAGATGTTAACTAGACTGACTGTGGTGACCATTTTGCAATATATTAAATATCGAATCACTTTGTTGTATACCTAAAACTAACATGCTGTATTTCAGTTATATCTCCATTAAAACAAGAGTCAGCCCTGGCTGGTATAGCTCAGTAGGTTGAGCAAGGGCCTGTGAACCAAAGGGTCGCTGGTCCCAGTCGGGCACATGCCTGGGTTATAGGCCAGGTTCCCAGTACAGGGCACACAAGAGGCAACCACACATTGATGTTTCTCTCCCTTTCTTTCTCTTTCCCTCTTGCTAAAAATATGTAAGTAAAATCTTTAAAATTAAACAAAGAGAGAAAGAGTCAGAATCAATGCCCTCAAAAGGATGTTTCTTCATTAATCTTGATTTCCCAATCTGAGGAAGATATCACTTTTTATTTAAACTTAAGCTGGTATGTTTCTGTTCTGGTTTTAAAAACAAACAAAACACATAACCAACCAAATAATCAAAACAAGTAATGAATTAGCTTGACGGTTTCAAGGACAGAGAAATAGCAAAAGGAGATCCTGCTGGCCACTTGGCTCTCAGACCACAGAAGAGGTTCTGTGGGCACGTGGTTCTGGTACTGTCTCAGCAGCAGACCAGGGCCGCCACATCTCCAAAGCTCAAGTGGCATGCTGCAGATGGACTGCCTTCCTCTGATCATCCGGAAAACGGGAAACACCATACTAGAATGCATTCTCCATTCAGGCACTAATCATGTCTCACGTAGGCTTGTTGGGTGCTGGGATGCTGCAGCAACACCTGATGCGGCTACTTAAACTTTGTAGAGCTACATGAACTCTGGGCACCCTGTTAAACAGAGGCCGCCTGGGAAGTTGTCCCTGTGACCCTTACCTGCTACAAACCCACATCCAGGTGCCTGGCCCACACGCTGCAATTCTCAGCAGCACGGCAACCTTGGCTAATCTCACCTGCTCAGTGTCAGAACGACTGCGCTTCCCTTCAGCTGGGGCTCCATCGCTGCGGATCACTTTGGGCTTCCGTTTTTTGCTTGATTCTGACGACATGGTGGTTTGGTGAGGTCAGGAAGAAATAGCAGAGACCTGTTCAGGGGAGAAAGCTTTTGAGATTTTTCTAGAGTTGGAACTGGAGATCTTCCTGGAGTCATAATACTGAAGTTTAACTAGCAGTTCTGGTCACTAACACCCTGGTAACTCAAGAAAAGACTCAACCCTAAGCCTCAGTTAAATCTTCTGTAAAAATGGGGAAGGGTCATCCCTCAGCCTGTCCAAAACGAACCCATCTTCTTCACCTCCACCTCCTTTAGAGGCACCACTACCACACCACTGACCAAACTCCGCAGACTGGCATATAAGCACATTCCCAATACTACTGATTGATCGCTGTGTGCTAGACCTTATCTAGGCACGTTATGGGTATGTTCTCATTTGATCTTTATACAAACCTTTTAGGTAAAAAGTACCATTTTACAGATGAGAATGCTGAGGATCAGAAAGGTGCATGAGCTGCCCAAGCTTACACCGCTATTATGCTAAAGCTTGACTACATCTGATGCCACATCAGTGCTCTTAATGACATTATATGCCTCCTAGTCTTGCTACCATCTCATCAGGGGCTGCCACCAACTCCCTGGTTAACCCTAAAATTTAAAAGACCACAGCCTACATTTCATGGCTGTGGTCATAAAAGCATCCCCCCCCCATCTCTCCCAAATGGCACCACAGCCCCCTGAGGTGGGCAGCATTATTCCCCTCACCCCCAAAACTTTGTCCGAAACAATTATTGAGGGATCCTGTAGCTCATGGTAGACAAGTCAGAGAACCCTATGATGGAGTCTCCTCTCTACTATTTTATAGCTATGAGTCCTGGGACAAGACACTTCACTTTTCTCTGGGCCTGTTTCCTCACAGATCAAACGAGAATTCCAGTCCCCACCTCAGGGTTTGCTGTGGACATTAACATAGGAATGTCCTCCGCTGTGGAAGGTGATGAAGATGATCTGGGAGCGGGGCTTTAGACGGTACATGGGTGATCTTTAAATGATGTTGAACACCTGAGGAGAAAGTTAATCTCTTTTCAATTTTCTTTAGAACCTTCTCATTGCTTCAAAAAAAAAAAGGTCTCATTTCCCCAGTTTGTCTAACATCTATGAACACCCATGTTCCTTTGTTAACAAAAGGACTTATCACAGAGCCTTAGACAATGGAATCTAGCCAGAATTATTAACAGTGATCTGTTTTCATTTTGTTATTTATTTATTTATTTTTAGAGAGAGGGGAAGGGAGGGAGAAAGAGAGGGAAACATCAATGTATGGTTGCCTCGCATGTGCCTCCCTGTGGCCAGGCACCTGGCCACAGGCTTCAATTCGGGACCTGGCCCGAAACCCAGCAAGTGCCTTGACTGGGAATCGAACTGGCGACCCTTTGGTTCATAGGCCGGCACTCAATCTACTGAGCCACACCAGCCAGGGCTAAAATATATTAATTTTTATCATTACCTTCTGCATATGACAAGTGAAAAAAGTTTTGTATTTAAAAGAAAAATGACATTATATGCCTCCTAGTCTTGGAGGAGGCATTTTTCTTTTAAACCGAATTTAAATTTTAAAAGTGACTCAATTAAAAACCTTTAATAAGTAATCCTACATCTAAGTTGATTTAGCCAAACCCCCAAAGGTGAGACCCCACAAAGGTAAGACCTGAAAGGCTTAAATGTGGGAAACCCCGACTTTGACAGCACAGTGGAGTGTCTGGCACACAAAAGCACACAATGTGAGCCGTCGGTTATGACCACCACCACCGTCGTCACCTGGAGGCTACAATGTGAGGCCTACAATCTGCAGCCCACATTTCCCACAAGTGGAAACTGAGCGCGCGCGGTCGCGCCGCGCGGCGCCGACAGGCCCGGAACCCGGGCGTGAGGGCGAGAATCCGGGCCGGACTCCAGCCCCAGGACGCCCCCGGGTGATCCGCACCTCAGTCCCAGGGCAACGGCCTGGCCCTGCCGCCCTTCCACAGTCCCGCTCCCCTCCTCACCGAACAGCGTCCCGAGCCGGTCCCAGAGAGCGACCCACTTTATGCGCCGGGAGACTGCAGCCAGCGCACCACCAAGAAGCGGAAGGAAGAAAGAGTAGCCGGAAGCGAGGCGTGGAGGCCGGAAGCGAAGAGCGGAAGCCGGAAGCGAAGCGCCAAGTCCCGGGAAGGTAATCGGCCTACGGTGCAGGCAGTGGCTGGATGACCTGGGACCACGAGGCGGGGATTACTAGGTTTCTGGGTTGCCTGGGAGTGTCCCAATCGCCAACATCCTCACGCAGTCCTCTAAAACCAGGAAACTGAAGCTGCAAGGGCAATCTTTTCTTTGTATTGAGTACATAGAGGGAAACATCCATTTATTGTTTCAATTACTTGTGCATTCATTGGTTGCTTCATGAATGTGCCCTGACCAGGATGGAACCCGCAATCTTGGTGTGTCGACTCTCTGAGCACCCGGCCAGGACAGCAAGGATGAACACTCTGAAATGTGTTTCCTTCACTCTTTCCCCAGCGCCCCAAGTCCAGCATCTAGTAGGTTCTCTGTCAAGTATTTGTTGAATGAACTGGCGTCATGCCCAAGATAACACAAAAGTGTGGTAGTGTCAAGACTTGGACCCCTGTGGGTTTGCCTTCATAACCTGGGTTATTAACAACTGTTATTTTCACCCTAACATCCACACTAGTCAGGACAGCAAGTCAGAGAGGGCATTAACCCCACCTTACATGTATTTTTACCACAGGTGCATCAGTAATTTCCCATTTTCGACCCAATTAGCCCAGGGCAGTCACAATTTCAAATACAGTGTCTAACAGCTTCAAATATTTTCTATCCCTGGTAGGAATTGTACAGGCAGAGTAAGCCCTACTTATCTGGAGGTAGAGACACTGATGTCTCAAATCCCTGGTTATATAGGGAAATTCCTTCTGCCATGGGGGAAAGCCATCATTGAGTAGTTCAGGAAGCACAATACCATACAGAGGGGGGTAAATCAGCAGCTGGAACTGGGAAAGCTGGCCTGGCCTTGGCCACCTACCAAAAAGTTCCTTGCAGATGAAGAAAAGACACAATGGTTTATAGTAAACATGTAATTGGTTCCATCAGCATCTCCAGCACAGGTTTTCCTGAAAGGGAGGCAGAATAAATCTACCCAGAGGATTAAAAGTGTGGGGGTCACGGAGGAGGCCCCCAAAGTCACTGACCCCACTCCACATTTCGAGTGGCCCCGTAGAATGAGGGTTGGGCTGATCGAATATGAAGAGGGAGAAAAGGGATACAAGGTGAGGGACATACAGGCTCAGGCCCATATCTTTGCCTACAGGAAGGGAAAGGGAGAGCAGGAGAATCTCCCTGCACAGAAGGGCTGGAACTATGCATTCACTTTGCAGAAGGAAACAGATGAGCCTCTTTGCAAGTGGTCTTCTGTCATGTCTGTTCTCTTTCCCATTCTGTATTCCAAGTTCTGCAGTTCAAAGTTCTGAATTCTATGTTCTACCTTCAGAGTTCCTGACCCCCAGAACCTTTCCAGCTCCCTTTTCCCAGATTTTCTAAGTGCATTAGCTGGACCTACTGCTGACATTGCTAATCAAGGGTTTTCCTTTATTTCTTGTGACAATTCTAGGCTTTTTCCCAGCAGGAGGGATTTGGTTCAGACTGTTCAGCAAGTGGGTAGCCCAGCAGAGACCAGGAAATTCCTGAGAGCCTGGTGTGGTTTTACCTCTTCCCTTCCCACCCCACCTCTAACCACTAGACACACTACATTTCAAGCAACTAAAGCTAAACTGAGGTTTTTCATGGTGACAATTGGGGACTGGTGGACTTGAGATGAGGAATCTTAGGGGGAAGACATAAAGGTTGTTCTTCATTCAGAGAAATTACAGACTGCTTCCAGCACAGGGGAAGGAGTGGGTGGGGAAGGTGGGAAGTCTCCGGGCAGAACTAGAAGTTCTCAGAACCCTGTCATCCTTCAGCCCCCCACTGTCTGGGCTGAGCACTAGCCCCCAGAGTCCTCCAAGATCTGAGAGAGAACCAAGATAGCAGAACTGGGAGCTCCTCTGTACGTGGCTGCCCTGAGGGAGAAGGGGAATGTGGTGGAAGCAGCAGCAACATCACTGAAGAGGCGAGATCTTCAAAGGGATCATGATCCGAGACTCCATGTGTCGCACCAGGGGGACTGCAGAGAGAGGCAGAGGTCACAGAGGTCACAGAGTGAATGAAGCAAGCTAACGCGAGAAACATGCTTCTGAAGGGGAAGAGTGCCAGGGATGCTGAGACATGCAATGCCCCACTGCCCTTCTGGAATGCCTCACAGAGAGCCCCAGGTCTTCCAAACTGTGGGAGAGGGGACTCAGGTGGTGATGAAATGCAACATTTAAATATTTTTCGTAATTATATATTTATTTTCCTGAGTTTGTGAAAAAAATAATAGCATAGTAAAAAGTGACTTCACAGATCCTATTGCTTAGGACAATGCTAGGTAAAGAACAAAGTAGGGGGATTTAAAGAAAAGTGCCAAGAAAACAAGTAGCCACAGTGTACTGGTAGGACAAAAGCTGGGAGGGGGTCTTCAAGTGGCTGAGGTTTCAAAAAGATTTAGTTCAGCTGCCTCATTTTACAGGGGAGAGGTTGCAACCCAGAATGGGTTGATGCCAAAGTCACCAAGGAGGTGAGACTCCTTCCTGCTCAGAGCTAGTCATGCTGTGTGCACACAGATTGCCTATAGTCCTTGTTAAAGTGCAAATTCTGATTCAGTAGGTGGCAGAGGGGGTTGAGAGTCAGCATTTCCAAAGGCTCCAAGATACGCTGATACTAAAGGACAGGCCCCTGTTCATTCTGGGATGCCCCAGCCACCCCACCCCCCACAGTCCCTGGAGCAGAGCCAGGGCTCTGTCAACACCTACTGACTCCAAGTGGTTATAGGAGGCCCAGCAAAATGACAAACAGCTTGTTGGAAAATATTTGCTGCACACATCCTCTGTGCCAGAATCCAGGTGAAGCACTTTTCATAAATCAGCGCCTGGAATCCTCCCTCCAGCCCTCCGAGGCAGGCACTATTACCATCACCATTTTACGGATGAGGAAGCGGCCTCGGCGAGGTTGCAGGGCAGCCCGAACTACTCCACTTGTCTGAGGCAGGGACCTCTTGGTTGTTTTACCTTCCCCTAGAGCACTCACTTAGGACTGCTGGGTCACATGGAGTGTGCCACCAGGGCAGAAGCCCCAAAATTCATTGCTTTCAAAGCGAGTTTCCCATCAGTGGAGGGAATCAAGTGAGGCACCTAGCAGCTGACCTCCAAGGTCCTCTGACCCTCATACCCCAGCCCGGAGGAGGTGGTACTCACCTGTGTAGTAGACATTTTGGTCCCAACCCCTCTTCCTCCAAGCGGCATTTCTAGTCTCCTCCCGAGACTGCAGGTCTTTATAGGCTGTGGGAAAGGCATTGCCTCATTCTCTGGGCACAGAGGATCTGACCCTGGTACCCAGAGGAGGGCCGTCCTCCCACTGCTCCAAACCCCGCCCTGCTGTCTTCCTCCCCGATGCCTCGGAATGTTAGTGAACACTGTCTGCTTTGACAGTCTCATCTGCTAAGTACATTTGTTGACAACTCTCAAATTTCTATATATCCACCCAGAACCTCCTCTCAGGCCCCAGACACATTTATCCAGTGCCCACTTAATATCCCTATTTGGATGTGCCAGCATCTGAAGTGTAACACTTTCAGGGCCATGATTAAACCTCTGAACTCCCCACCCTGCTCCTTTTAGGGCCCCAGTGACACACTGCTTCCCCCTCCAGACTAATTAATCTGGACTTTTCAGCATCCTCACCGCCACCACTTTGGCCAGTCTGTCACCTCTCCTGCCTGAGCCAAGGGTAACCGTCTCCTGTTGCCCCGCTTCCTCTCTTGCTCCTTACAAAGTGCTATCAGCATAGTACATGGCAGCCACAGGAATATTAGAATACATATCAGGTCATGTCCTGCTGCTAATAATGCTGCAGTAGCTTCCTGTTGCATCTGGAATAAACCTCAACTCGTCCCCATAACCTGCAAGGCCCGCCAGCCTCATCTCCTCACACTCCTCCCCACTCTCTCCACACCAGTCTCCTCTGCGATCCTCAAAATCCTGAAGGCCCTTCCCCAGCACAGGGCCTCTGCACGTGTTATTCCCTGTACTTGGAACGCCCCTGCCCAGCAATTCACAGCTGGCTCCTTCCCATCCTTTAGCTGGGTTTCCACTTCTACCTCCTTAGAGAAGCCTTCTCTGTCTGTTCCGGACAACTTAGGTCCCCATACCGTCATCGTTTCTCCCTGTCTGCGTTATTTGTAACAATGTGAAATTATCTTTGTTAGTTTACGTCTGAGGTGGTTTCTCCCTCCGCTAGAGCGTTACCTTCCACAGGGTACTAATGTGTTTGCACTGTCTGCACGAATGACAGTGGAGAACGGGGACTAGCAGAAGGCTCCTGGGGGGCCCCCAGCCTACCCCAGAGATGGTGCACAACGTAGAGCTCTCCTATCTGTGAGAAGAAGCCGCCCACCGCCTCCTGGTTCTCCTGCCGGTACTTGATGGCCCGAGCCCTGGGACGGCAGAAGAGTGTGAGGAAGAGGCCAGGGCCGATACAAAGGGACCCGTGAGGTGTCCCCAAGCTGATTTCTCTGCCACACCTCAAGGGAGAGGCCTGAGGTCAGGCCCCAGCTCTGAGATGGCTGGGGACAGGGGTGACGGAGGTACGGCTGCTGGCTGGGTGTTCTTCCAGGGGGTCCTCTAGAAGATCCTCACCTTCTGGCTGGATCCTTCTCCTGGATCCATGAGGGGCCAAGGTTGCAGGATTCCCTGCCACACGGCCCTGGGAAAGGTGGCACCCCAGGGGAGGGGACTTGGCAAGGCAGACCCTGCCCAGGGTCACCCCACCCAGACCTGCCACTCACCAGTTGTTCCCCCACTCGATCATGGTTCCTGGCTGAAAAAGAACCAGAAGAGACTGGAATGAGCTCTCACTTCAGATTCCCAGGGTCCTAGCTGGGAGAAGAGGGGCAACCACCAAGTCTCCCCAGCTCCAAGGTCACTTGGCCCTGGGGGCCCCAACTCGCAGCTGGGTGTGCACATACGCACAGGTGCATACACACCT